TTGGTCTGCTCAACAAAAACATTGACGCCTCCCTGTTTACTTCTTTTTAGAATTCAGTCGCAATTAAACAACATCGATAAGGAATAAGAGAAAATTTTATCTATTTCATGTAAGGAACTGAGCTGATACATGAACCAAGGTACTAGAAGCAATGTTTAAAAAGCCTCACCATGAACCAAATATGTTTCATGTACTTGAGGCGTTTTGAGGCGTAAACCTCACCATGAACTAAAACAAATGTTCAAAAAAATACAAAAATATAACAAGTATGTAATAATATAAACTAACTGTAAAATTCCCAAAAGAATAGATTAACTTAAAAGTGTCAAGCAAACAAGCATAAAATTAATCAACAAAGAACTCAAACAGAGAAAAGAGAAGTGTCTCATATGATCACGAGTCACTACTACTGAGATCTTGTATAAAATCACTAGTCTCTGCAGGAGTTATGTTGCCGTTGCTGGAATGAAGAAGTTCTAGGGTCACAATGTTGTTTTAATGGGTGTGTTGAGTGTTTTTATTGTTCATGTGTTTGAAATTATAAATTAGCTTTATACATGGCATATTAATATATAATCAAAAGAAATGAATTATGTTTTATTAATATATTATGGGTTCCAATGATAATATATGGCTAATAATCAATGAAAAGTAAGTTTTATTAAAACATAATAGATTTTCGAAGCTATTTAAATATGTAGAAGATTCCGAATGAAGTCAACCAACGAAATATGAGAATTTTAAAGAGAAAGTGGTTCCCGAGATAATTTAAGGGAGGTTGACACCTCTCTCTCTCTCTCTCTCTCTCTCTCTCTCAAGGTATAAGCTTCATTCTGGCCCAAAAAATTCCATCGCAGTATTATTTTCTAGCTTCTCAAACTGAGGTAAGCTTTGGTCATGCCTTTTTAAACCATGACTAGAAGCTTAGTTTGAGATTGTTTTAATATGGCCGGTAAGAAATCTGTTGTTGAGACTAATTAGCGAAGCAAGAATTTTAGAATGACAAGGTTTATCATGCTTCGATCAACGGTTGCTTTTTCGAATAAGCTAATGAATAAGGAAATAAATGAAAGTTGTTCAATTGGTACCATGATTCAACTTAAGTTATTTTTAAGTGAAAGGTTAAGGGTTCGAATCCTGGAGACGCGATAGAAATTCATGAGGAGTAAGATGGATTTAAGCTCTTCTATAGAGGACAGTACGTAGTTTAATAGTTTGGGCACAGAAACTGAGACTGAGTCGTGTGCTCATATTTTCTTAACTCAAATAAAGCTCATTTTAGATTAGTTCATTATTAATGTTATAAAAGGTTTTAAAAGTTGTGGAATCAGTCAAAGCATAAATAACCTATTGCTCAAACTATTGACTTGTATGCGCTGCAATATTGATTCCTAGTAGAGCTAATCCGTGTACCTCATTTTTGTCTTTATGGGCATAGAATATTTTAAACCGCCGAAAAAAGCCTTGTGTTATATTATCTACAATGAAACAGTCAATGAGAGATGGAATCCATGAAAAGGTGACTTGTTAACACCCCAGTATTATGAATTCTTGGGAATTTATTACAAACAAAGTGCCATAAGTTCATCGTGGCTTTCTCTGACCTAAATTTGATGAGGTTCAGGGTTGATGATGCTAGGCATCTTGACCCAGGGATCTAACTCTATTACAATCTCTATTCATGATTGAAATTCGAGAAGAGTAAAGGTGTCAGGTTAAAAATAAGGAGCCATACTTCCCTGTTGTGCTTCCAGTCTATCAAATCTGCTGTGTAAATGCATTAGAGGTTAGCCAAAAGAGATGGAATGGTACTTTCCATGTGATTCTACTTAGTTGTAGTATCCTTTGGATAGCTAGAAGTTAGCAAACCTTGTCTGATAGTGGACATAACCCGTACATGCCTAACTACTTCAAAAGTACAGAACAATGTACTGAAGTGGAAATTATAATTCGTGGGAATGGCCTCATTTGTAACCATAATTATACTTCCACCGTCCTTGTCTTCACACTTGTCAGATATCTTTATTTTAATATTGGTTTTCACCCTTGTTTTGTGGTTACATATTTGTGTCCTTTATTTCCTGCTTTGGTCGTGCCTAAGTTTGGGCACATGCATCTACATTTACTAAGGCTACTTATGCAGCACATATAAGTTTATCTCATCCAGCAGCAAAACCTAGTTTGACCCTATGGTTACATATTGGTGTCCTTATTTTCTGCTTTGGTTGTACCTAAGTGTGGGCATATGCACCTACATTTACTAAAGCTACTGACGGAGCACATATGAGATTATCACATCCAGCAGCTAAACCTTTGACCTCCATTTAGGAGCTTCAACAACCAATTGCTTGACTTGGCTCTGATCATTCCCAATCCAAGCATGAAGTGAACTAGTAGAAACACTCTGCTTTTACTCAAATCAAGTGTACAAGTGGGACTCACTCAAATCGTCCAGTTATAATGAACAGCAGTATCATTCTATGGTTTTTGAAGTCTGTCTGGCTCTAACTTTTTACTTTTTATTCCTAAACTGGATTTTAAGTTGGTTTTCTTGTGTCTCTATACTTAGTTGACTGGGCACGAATTTTCTATCTAAGATGTCATATACACGTGCTATATATCATTTCGGTCACTAATACACATATAAATACTTTTAACAGGTTAGGTTTGATGGTAATGGGAGGCCTTACTTTGGCTTCCTTTATGACATATGCTGCGGAGCACATTTCAGTTAGAACATTTATGAGGGGTTATGAAGAAAGAGATGCACAAACAACCAGAAACATTTGTTCTTTCTGTTAGTAGGAGGCTCTTCTTAACATGTTAGCTAACCGTCATTGGCTGCTTTGTTGTTTTGTCTGTAATTTGTTTTAAACCTTTTCTTCCCTATTATTTAATTGTAGAATATTGTGGAAAATTTTGCATTCTAGAGGTTTCCTCGCTCCCTTTTGAGTAGGCTGGTTGCAATTTTCATGAGATTACAATCTTTACATTCCTTTTGGTTGTAATTTATGCTTGTTACAAGCACTTGGGTAGATTTCACCTTGAAACTGACTTGCAAGGGGAGAATGCTCAATATTTTTACAAATCAACACATGAAGCCGTTCACGAGCTATGTGGAATAAAGCAGTAGTTATAGTCCGCCGCCTTCATAATTGACGTCAATGGTTGCCGAAAGAGCCATCTAAAGAGTAGTATTCTCGAGGTGCTCCATCTCAATTGAGGGTCCGTTAAAGAAGGGGTGCCTGCTGTAATATCACTATTACAGACACTTGGGTAGAAATCATTCCAAAAATCAGTTCGTAGGAGAGTGTCCAATATGCTTATAATCCTGACCGAGCACCAAAGAAGCGGTAGCAGATGAGATTTTCTTCGAGTCTTTGTCCAATTGATGTGGAACTTGAAGTAGCTGTTGCATTGCTATTTCACAAGTAAATCTCTGTTTTTTTACAATTTTGTAATCTACAATTTCTTCTTGCTTTAAGATTGTTGTATGCAATGCTTGCAAGTAATGTAATTTGGCCTCAATAGCGCTGTGTCATCAATTAGTTAAATTGAAAAGGTTACAATTTTAACCTGTGTGTCACATAGACAGGTGAGTTATTGAAAAAGAGTACATGTATAATATAAACGTGAAAGTCAATTTTCCGATTTTATTCTTTGTAATTTTTGCTCCTCACTTGTTACGTCTTACTCTATTCTAGTGAAAGTTAATAAATTATTTAGTTAAAGTCAAAGATGGATCAAAGTTGATCTTAATGGTGAGTCGACACCTAATGAGATGCATTATCAACATACATCATGTATCAAGTCCACTAAAGTAATTGGAAAAGAGTCGTATTAATTTATACATTTTATATAATTTCCGTAAGTTGGGTTATACTATTTTTAGAGTTTTTATAGGGAGAGTGAAGTACCAAAGTAACTCTGCACATCATGCTCAGTGACGCATACCCGTTTGACGAGGACGGTCCAACTCAGGCTTTTGATGCGGTGTTAAGGTGTTCGAGGTCCCCCTAGTCTGCTGATCAAGTTCTAAGTCTCTCTCCCCTATCTAAAATTTATGAAAATTATGTACGTGTATGAATAAATAAATGTAGTTCAATGTGGTATCCGAGTAGGGTTGGGCAAATCTTCCGAACCGAATCCGAACCGAACAGAACCGAATCCGACGGTTCTTGTCAAATTAAATACCCGAACGGGTATCTAAATTGAGAACCGACGGGTATGGTTCGGTTCTCGATTTTAAACCAAGAATCGAAGAACCGAATAAGAACCGAATCTTTCTAATTTTTTTTTTATATTGAGTAAATCAAATTATTTTAATTTTAATTTTTTCTAAACAAATTAACAAATTAATGATTTCTAAATTCAAAATTTTGGCCCAATAATTTGTTTCATTTCTAATTTTTTAATTTTTGGCCCAATTACCCATTTTATTGTTTCATTTCTTAGCCAAACAAGATCAAATCCACTAAATAACCCTAAACACCTACACTAAAGTGTATAACGTTGTCTCGACTCTCGCACTCACTCTCGCAGCATCGCTAATATTCCAAAACATATACAATCGTCGACCGACACTCTGACCTCCGATCGAAGTCGTGACCTCCGCCAACCGAAACTTTGATCGTAGCAATCATTTGAACAAGATAATTTACTAGTCTCTGACATTCCAAAACTATTGAATGTATCATTAGTCATATTTATATAATGTTTTTATAAATGTTAAAAAATTTAATTATAGTACAGAACCGAACGGAACCGAACCCGAATGGTTCCATAATTATATTTGGACCCGACGATTCTATTTACTAGATACCCGAAAAGTTTGGTTCGGTTCGGAACCCGCGCCCACCCCTATATCCGAGCACCTAAAAAATATTTAGGTTCATATCTCGGTGTCATCTATTCGATAATGTACCATAAGAGAAGCTTAGAGTCTTGATAATATCATATTAATCTTTCTAGACTGATCTTGTAGATAAAGTGGAAAGCAGTTGAAATGCAATCATCACAAAAGTTTTCACAAAGAAAGGTTGGTTGGACTTGCAATTCAACCATACAAGGAAGCTGCTATCCACACGAAGAAATAGTCCACTCGAATGGTTTAACAATTCAGGCTTTATTCCAATTATATAAATGAACATAAGGTTAACTTCACCTTCACCAAAACTTACAAGTACCATATATTTTCCATAACAAAACATGGCCTGGTGCCCTGTTTTTGAACAATTATTTCTCAGTTATCTCACCACAATCGTCAATCACGACAGTCGACTTGGTAGTTCCACTATTGGAACCTACATTCTCCATCTCCTTAACCACATTATAGCCATCTACGACCTTCCCGAACACTACATGTTTCCCATCAAGCCAAGGCGTCTTCGCGGTCGTGATAAAGAATTGTGATCCATTGGTATTTGGCCCAGAATTGGCCATTGATAACAGACCAGGCTCTGTATGCCTTAGCTTGAAATTCTCGTCTGAGAATTTCGCACCATAAATGGATTCTCCACCGGTTCCGTTACCCCTTGTAAAGTCTCCTCCTTGACACATGAAATTTGGGATAATGCGATGAAATATCGAACCCTTATAATGCAATGGCTTCCCAGAAGCTCCTATCCCTTTCTCCCCCGTGCATAGGGCTCGGAAATTTTCAGCAGTTTTGGGAGTGGTATCAGAAAACAATTCCATCACAACACGCCCGGATTTTGCCTTTCCAATCAATATGTCAAAGAAAACCTTCGGGTTCTTCATTTTTCTATGAGATCTGAAATCACAAAAGCAAAAAGGAAAATGTGGCATTTGTTAATAACTCTGCTGAAAATTGGCATATAACCTCAAAGCAAAGAATCAAATTAACATCGAAAAATATAAAAGTATCAGGAAAAACATATCGAAAGCAGTCTTCATTGCTCAAGAAAGAAGTTTTCCAGTTCCATAAGACAGAATAATGAAGAGGTATATCTTTAAATATTCAACACAGAATTGAAATAAAATAGACCGTTGGTGAAATTAACCCTAGTTTATATACACAATCAAGCACACTGGTCAATCTCAAAACAATAAAAAAAAAAAATTAGTTCCTGGAGAAATTTCAAATCTACGGCATCAATTCTTACTTATATTTCTTCTAATGCTTTTCAGAACTCAATTAATACAGATTTTGTCAATGTGTTTTTAAAAGGTCCGTACTTTTTTTTTTTCCCAAAAGCACTTGTAACAAATATCTGTAAAAATGAAAAATGTTCATCCATAATTAATCCCCTTGAAAATTTTAATTATTTATCAAGAGGACAGACTTACAGATAAATTGATATAGCACAATTTTTGAGCTCCGCGGGCTTTTATTAATTAATATACCCGCAAAGCCTTCGATCTGTGCTTCTTTAGTTAAACGTAAATCCCAACATGGAATCCAGAAATATGTAAAACAAATATGAAGTAAATTTAAAGAAAATGAAAACATTATAGAGCAGGAATTAATACGTACACCTTTTTTATCGGGCTGAAATTGAAAAATGAGAAGAAAGGAAGATGAAGATTCCGCTGAGTCTTCTCAACAACATATAAAGAGGGAGACTGTTGAGGGCTACTAGGGTTTATCGTTTAGAGTTTTATGTTTTGGGTTTTCTGATGTAGTCCCTATTTTTTATAATCTTTTACATTTTACTCCTTTTAAGACTGGCCTTTGAAGCAGGGCTCCCAAATGTATTAATGCTTTAGACGTAGGTCTTCAACTATATTTTGTCGATATTAAAGTCCTCAAACTTTTAAGTTTGTAACAACTTAGTCTAAGTTGATGGTGTCTTTCAATCTATTTTAGTATCTTACCATTAAAAATGCAATTATACATCTAACTCTAATTAAAATACAAAGATAAATAAACTTTTTTTTTTACATTTCAATTTGAGTTAAAGACAACTAATCGATAAATACGGGGGGAGAAGAAGCAGGGATGACAATGAGACGGGACGGAATCGGACGGACCCATTCCCATCTCCTATTTCCTCGTCTTTGTCAGTAGGTAATGTCAGGATTAAAATATCTTCATTTATCATCGTATTCACTTGTTTATTTTTTATTTTTTATTTTTTCAAATTTTTTTCATATGTTTTGAATTTAAAGAAGTAAAGATAGTTATCACGCAAATCATTGAAGCAGCCTTTCTACCATCTTATTTCACGTTTTTAATAAGACTTGGAATTATTTCGTGATTAACTTTTACATCTCTCGAGAAAAGAGATTACGTACATCCCACTTGATCATGCGGATTCTGGTTACACATATAAACCCTCAGTCTTCTCTTTCTCCTATGTATCTACTGATTTTTGATAGATGAACCTTCAGAAGACGGATTGCAGTGCCAATTGGAATCTGTTCTTGCCGCAACAATGGCTAACCGACGGAGTGGCCAAATAGGATTTGATCAGTCGTCACCATCAGTTAGCTCACCAGCTTTGAAAAAAAGAAATCTAGGCATATCCATTAACAACTATAATCCAACGCCATCACCATTCAAGGAGCCTGCAGATCTCACCATGTCTATGAATGATCACAATTCCAACGGTGGCGGTGGCGGTGGTGGAAGAGCAGATGAAGAAGATAGAGATCAAAGCGAGGAGCTTAACGAGGGCGCCGTTGAGTTCCCAACGCGTAGGGAAAGAGGCAGGCCTACAGGTTTAAGCGAATATAGAATCGTTAACAAATCTTAATTCTTATTTAAGTTATTCTTGTCTCGAACACATTCATGATCACACTCCTTCATGTCGTTCATTTTTCATCAAATGCTTGACAAGTTTCATAAATAAACGGCGGCAAAAACATAAATTATTAGAGTGAGAACAAGCTTATTCATTTAAATTATGTCTTCATCATTCACAGGTTCAAAGAACAAGCCAAAACCACCCGTATTTGTGACAACGGACAGTCCTAATGCGCTGCACAGCCATGTTATGGAGGTGGCGAGTGGCTCCGATGTGGCAGAGAGCATAGCTGAATTTGCAAGAAAGAGGCATAGAGGAGTTTGTGTGTTGAGTGCAAGTGGGATAGTTAAAAATGTGACAATTAGACAACCTTGTGATGCAGTCATGGCTCTAAATGGCCGCTTTGAAATCCTCTCCTTGACCGGTGCTTTTCTCCCTGGGGCGGCGCCACCGGTAGGATCCACAGGGATGACTATATACTTAGCCGGCGGTCAGGGACAGGTGGTGGGAGGTACTGTGGTGGGTTCTCTGGTGGCTGTTGGCCCAGTAATGGTGATTGCTTCTACGTTTTCGAATGCTACTTATGAGAGGTTGCCTTTGGATGAGGAAGAAGAAGCCACCGCTGCCGCCGCTGGGGGTGGTGCAGACGGAGGACAGGCTGGCATTGGTGGTGGTGATATGGGTGAACCGCCGTCGTTGGCACCATATAACATGCCACCTCGGAATGGAGGAGAATTGAGCCATAGTTCATTTTCATGGAATCATGGCCCTGCAAATTACTAGAGATGAAATTAACTTGTTCATGTATTAAATTTTAACATATGGTTCACAAGTCGAATGGTACATTTCAAAAAATAAATATATCAACGGATCATATCACTTTTAGGATTTTTCCGAATGTACAAGGAGGTCTTTCTGTATAAATTCTATGAAAAATTTAATATAAGTGTAGCATCTATTACTTTTAACATTCTTGTTTTATTATTATTATTATTTTTTTTTGACAAGGAAACCCGCAGTCGCTACCCGAAGGTGCGCACTAGGTAAACCCCGCATTGTGATCCTAGTTGGCAAAAGACCACAAGGAGGTAAACCAGCCTAAATTACACATAGCTGACCGGTTCAAACCAAGAAGACCAATAGGCAGCTTCAACGGGAATCGAACTAACAACCTCACGATTGCTAGTCCAACTGCCCGACCAACTTGGTTGGGGTTGTCCCCATTCTTGTTTTATCTTTTCTTATATGAAGGGATGAAACTCTAGTCCATGAAGGTGCATCTTGTAGAATGATAGGGAAAATAGAATTGAAACATGTTGATGAGGTAGTTGAACTATAAAAGCTTTTCTAAAAGCTTTTCTTTTTGTCCCAAGGAATGTTAGTCAACAGATAAGACAAATCCAACTATGTACCTAACACGCTACATATAAATGTGATAATCATGTCTAGCCCAACACGTAGTAGTAGGTATAGCTCCATCAAACAGGAATAGTCTTTTCTTATTGACCTCTTCGGAGTAACGAAAGGATTACCTCGAAATCCGAAAAGTGGAATAGAAACCATTTTTTCAAAATCGGTGGTTTAGGTTTACATGAGTCCATTAACGTTTTGATTTTGAACTGAATTAAATTGTTTCAAAGTTTTTTGGTTTACATTTCAATCTTTGCAAACGGTTTCAAACCGTCAAACTGTTTACAAAAAATTTTAAAATAAATTAATTTAAATTTTGTCCAACCCAGTTAAAATTAAACACATCGCAGTTTAAAAAATACATTCATATCAAATATGACACAATTAAACTTAATACATAAATAGACAATTATCCATCTCAATTAATTAATTAAATTATATTCAAATATCGATCGATCATTGTAGTTCTAAATGCAAAATTCTTAAATTGGGTGAAGTTTTGAACAATTGCTATTGAACCATATTTAGCAATCACTTATTATAATTGAATAGACAATTAAATCTAGATTTTAATTTATACTCAAACATTCATTTTCCTTTTATTAATAATTTTCTTGAATTTTGGCTAAATTTTCGAGCCAGTTTATCTAACTTTTCTTAATTTTTGGTATTTGTTTGTTTTATTTTATTGATAATGTGTTATTTTGTTCTAATTTCGGTTGGCGATCGGGGTCCCTTAAATTTTTAGCAGGCATCATTTTTCGTTTATTTGCGTCTCAATATCCTGATCATGTCGCTCAATTAATTATTTACGTTTTAACTTAGTTTTTACATTTTACTATTAATTGCTAGAATAATTTTGTGTATTATTTAAATGATCGTTTTGAAGTCTTGGCCAATGAATCTTTCAACGTATCACTTTGATGAAAATTGAATGAAAATAAGTATAGGAATGTCCCTCAAATTGCTAAAGATGTTCTAGTAATTCAAATATCCACAATTATTTTTGAGTCTGCATTTCCACCTAATGGTCAGATTCTTGATTCCCTTAGGAGTTTGTTGGGTGCAAGTGTAGTTGTGGCGTTAATTTGCCCTGGTTGCTTAGTAATAAAGAACCTGTAGTTATTTGTCATCCAATTTGATCTTTCTATTCCTTTTCTTTTATTAATTGTTTTATATCATTTAACTATAATAAATTAATAAAATGTAAATGTTTCTATCTATTGTTATATTATAATGCTTAAAATTATAAAATTTTGGTTTGTTATATTTTTAATGATACTCTTATGTTTTAACGTGAAAGCTTGTCTAACATTTATGATTTAACATATTCAATATATTTTATTTTTTTCTTTGTTAAACCATGGTTTTAAATCAAACTAGATTGAAAAAGTGGTTTGGATTAATTTGGTTCAGAAATTAAAATGGTTTGATTTGTTTTTGGATTGGTTTGAAAAATTTACAAACTACTTTAAGTGGCTTGGATTGAAAATTTATTACAAACATCCCAAAAAAAACTGTGTTTCTTTTGATGCGAACCGAAAAAATATTCCGATCAACCCATTTCACCCATGTAGTCCCCCATATGTTTAAGTGCATGTTTGTGAAAGCTTACGATTATTTATAAACTAGTCAAATTTTATTTTTATCAATATAATTTTGTAAGATTTACAACTTTTATTTACTTTTTAGTTATGCATTCCTCGAACACAACGGGTATATACAATTATAACCTTTGACAAATGTAAATAAAATCTATTTTATATTTTTAATCATCATTTATTTATTGGCTTGCTTAAATTAGAATGATTTTTAAATGTCATAACATGTGTCAAAAATATGTTCAACTGATGCAGTCCAAACATGTAAGTCAGTTAGTCATGATTAAGTTGGTGCTATAGGTAAAAAGATTTCTTAATTGCGTCTTTTAGGATTTCCATGAGATGCAATATTTACTTTCCTACTAATTATTAACAATATCAAACATATTTTACTTTATTCTTATCGTGCAAAACTTTGATATTTTAGGTAAGACACACTCGTGCCTTGGAGATCTTTACATAAGTAAAGAAAATCATTAAAGAACATTGAGAGGCTTTGAGAAGAATCTAACTATGTCCGACAAATTTGCAGCAACATGTTTCGAAGTCATCTAACCTTCTACAGTGAGTTTTGACTAGCTGATGTTCCAATGAAGTAAAAATCGCATTCTTCAGCCGTAATTGAAGAGAACATGTGTGCGTAAATGACATAATCCTACTCAAAGATCAAGCTACTTGATGTGAGTTAAGATTGGTGAATCTTAATTCAATAAGTGGTTGCGGCCGAACATAATAGTGAAATGGCGATAAAGTTGAGACCGAAGGATTTGATTCCACTTCTCCAAGTCCAACAAGTCAAAAGGAATAAGAAAAACGATGAAGTTGTTCTTTATTTGCTTTTGATTGTTTTAGTTAATTTTGCAAAATTACTAAACCGAAACTATTGTATTTTTTATTCTTTGATAGTTAATCATTTTACCTGTGGCACGAGATCTCGTAGATGTTTTCCTTAAGAGTTTACCAAGTTATATTTGATATTCATATTTATTTAATTTCGCAATAGATTATGTACTTGTTTGGTAAATATTTTGATAAATGATTTTTTGACCGTTAAAGATAAAGTGAATCCTACCCGTGAGAGAAGAATTCAAAAACGACAACTGAAATAGTAAAATAACGATAAAAAAAATTGATTTTACTTGAATTAATAACTATATCAAACAATCTCCATATATTGCAGAATACAAATCTATTAATTTGTCCCCATCAAAATTGTGTTTAAAACTGCCTATAAAAAGTTCTGACTTACTGGTGCAGTCTGACTGAAACGAATAATTGAGACAAATTGGTTAATTAACCAGGTTTTATCTCCAAAAACCTCAGTTGGCCAAACCTTAAAAGATGTATGAAGTCTGTATCAAGGATAAACCATCTAATTCAAACCTGATTCATAGAATGGAACTATTTTGCGCCCAAAGTCAATAAATACAACACTATCAAGTCTATCATCCAATATTTCCTCTCAGCACATGCAAATTCTCAACAAACTATAACCTAAATTCGAAATTCCAAGTGTAAGTAACAATGTAATAATTGTCATTTGATAAAAAGTACTGTTCATTACACAATAATATTAAGGATTACCAGCTTTCTAAGCAACATGAATTGTGATTTCCTCTTCTATGGATGCACCTAAGTATGACCACAGACAGGAAGGAGAATTTTTTTTCCGGGAAGCTTTCTCGTAAAGCCAAAAATGCCCCAAGACAAGGTCAAACTGTTGGGAAGGTGACATGATCAATAGAACCCTACTAGATCTGGCCTCAGGTAGTGGCGCGAATTAAAATTGCTCATAATATTGTCTAGTACTAAAGTACTACGTGTCAATCATGCCATTATAGAAAAACAAGAAAATCAGATTATCAAATGCCAAATTATAACTGTATTATAGCGACACTAAGTTTATCCATGACAGTAAACATAGTTATTAGATAGACACGAGCAAAAAATAAAACACCATCGTTCAGCAATATATATGGCCTTCAACTGGCTGTCCCAACAAGAAAATGCATTACTACAGAAAAATGTTACTTACCTAGCCAATTGTACTACATAAAAACTGTCTGCAAGGTGAGAGAAATCCTTCCCAATAAAAGTTCTACTCTGTCGAGAATGACATTAGTCGGCTGCCAAGAGGTAAAAACAGTCCATATCCGGTGAGCTAGGGTGGTAGTCTGAGAAGATTCTAAGTCATCATTTTTTCATTTTTCCTTTCCGACAAGACCCCGTCCTAAGGAAAGTATTTTACAAATCAGGAATTTTCTAATAGTCACCATTCTCGGCAGATTGCGGCATGCCATGACCGGTGCTATTTCTCCATTCCATTGAATGTGAAGGTGTCAATTGCATGCCCTGATGCTGAATCATAAATGGACTTCCACCAACAGTTTGCTGAGTAGAATCAGCAGGTGACCAGACGCCTAGATCTGAGACTGAAGTGCCACCAATTGCAGATGGCAACTTGTTCGAAGCAGCATCTCCTTTACCACCACCACCGGTATCCTTCTTGGAGTCAATTTGAAAGGTACCAACAATTACCTGTTAACCCAATTAACTGACAAGTCAATAATCGGAAAAAACCCATATGCTTAAATTATCAAACCTGGCACAATCTGTCTGGTCGAAAGTACCAAATCACTGGTGGAATTGCATGCATAAAAGATATTGGTAGTTGTTATCAACAATAACATTTATTAATAGTGTATCATTAACAATAGCATTGAGTGCCACATTTGCAGGTTTGTATTACATCTTGAAGCTCATCAGCAACAAACAATTATATTGAGAACAGGTTCACTGCAGTATAGTCAACCTGGTCGCTGGTCTCCACTAAACTGTGCAATTTATCTGGATTTAGACCACTTTGCCTGATTTCCAGTCAAGTGGAGTTGCCGGGATTGATTTACAAACCAGGTCACCAGTCTGGTCCAGGTTTTAGGACTGCTTATATGTCACTCTATTTGCAAAAGCTAATTTAGCTCCCTTTTGGCCCCCATTCTTGCCAAATTTTAATGGTTAGAATAGTATTTTTTTTTTTAAATGTGTGGTTGAAAAGGAATGAAAAGTTATTGATTTGCGTATAATATTATTTTATGGAAGATTTTGTAGTTAAAAATAAGAGAGAGAAAGAATGAGAATGAGAACGGGGGCCAAACGGGGGCTTAGTTTTGATCATAAAAACACAGCAATAAGTTCACCAGAAAGGTGTAGTAATGGTCAGCACTCAAACCAGAGAGAGCTGCAGATCAATTCACAAACCAGATCAATGTTCCGGTCCAGGTTTTACAACTCTGCCTATACGTCATACTATATTTGCAAAAGCTAATTAAGTTTTGATCATATAAAGGACTAAAAGACTCTTCGTAAGAAAATTTCCAGGCCAAAAGTCTGCCTGATGAGCATAATTATGATAGGCATCCAAGAAAAAGAACACAATTTTAAAGGCATGCAAACATGCTCTATGTGCAACATGGCAGGCTCATGTTTGTAGGGGTGTGTGTTGGGGGGCATTGTTTCGCATTGTGCTTTCAAAGTTGATTGTTCCCCCAACGATTGGTATAAGTTTAAAATATCAGAATAGTCACTGTTGTTTCCAGCATTCAATGTAGTGTTGTTTCCTTCAGTCGCTCATGATCGTTTGAAAAATTAATGGTTACATTTGTCTAGCCATTGAAATCATTAAATTTTCAATCAGGAGCGGGGTGACAGATGAAAAGCAATGTCGAAAGTACAATGGCCATTGAGATTTTTCACCCGATAGATAATACATAAAGTTCAAGATTCCATTACATGTACAGTTATCTCTTCTTTAGATCAATTTACCCAATAAAATCCATCATAGACGATCCGAATTCAGAGCCACAATAAATTAAAACAATCTTTACAAAATAGTCTGCATGTTTAGAATTTATTTATTTTTTTTTTTTTATAGGTAATCAGATAATTTTATTACTTAAAAGAGAATACACGGGAGTATACAATCACTTTAAGCCATTAAGGAATAACATGAACAAGATTTCTAGTCACAGCATAAAACCAATAATACAAAGTAAAGTAAAATACTTCTCTTATCTGCTCTCTTATCTTTGTTTGGTTTTCGAAGCAGGGGTTGTTCGTTTCTCTCTACATGCACCATACAATGCAACCCAGGATAAGGTGCCATGCTAGTTTGCTATCCTTATCACGAAGTTTTCTCCGCCATGCCCGTATCACGTCCTCTATACGAGACATCACCCAATCCATAGATTGAGAACCAAGTATACTGTTCCAGATCCAACGTACAACATCACAATGAATGACCAAATGATTGATCGTCTCCCCATCCTTTTTGCACATATAACACCACTCGGTTACGTAGAAACCTTTACGTCGAAGATTATCCACCGTTGAGACCTATTCCTTCACAACTATCCACAATAAGAATGCCACCCGAGGAGGCAATTTACATTGTCACACCAACTTCCAGGGGAATGAATTATTCACACATCCAATGAGGGAACCAAAGTACGAGCGAACTGAAAAAATGTCATCCCGTGCTGTCCTCCACCTGATACAATCACTCTCTCCTACCCGAATTTCTGCCTCATGTAGAAAGGTCATAAACAACGAATAATCTTTCAATTCCCAATCCTGTAGACCCCTCCCAAAAGTAATATTCCGACTATAACTCCCATTATGAATGAGTAAGAGATCACTCACCATAGCAGAGGGCACTAAGGCAATGCGGTGCAAGGAAGGAAATCCCTCTTTCAGCAATTGATCTCCACACCAGCAATCATCCCAAAATCTAATATCAATACTACTTCCGACCACAAACTTCAGTTTGTCCAGAAATCACTGCATCCCTGTCAATATACCTCCACAAACTCACCCCATAAGAACCACGATCCTCAAATGTACACCATCCCCCCTCCGTCACACCATACTTCACCCCAATTATTTCTCTCCAAAAGCTCTTCCTCTCCACTTCAAATCGCCACAACCACTTGTCTAATAAGGCCTTATTGAACAACACAAAGCTCCTCACTCCAAGACCACTCCCCAATTGACCAAATGGAGTCTCCTCTCCTCCCTCTCTCCAAAAGCTCTTCCTCTCCACTTCAAATCGCCACAACCACTTGTCTAATAAGGCCTTATTGAACAACACAAAGCTCCTCACTCCAAGACCCCCCATCCTCATCGGCAAACAGACAACTCCCCAATTGACCAAATGGAGTCTCCTCTCCTCCCGCAACCCTACCCACAAAAATTCTCTTTGAAATCTCTCTAATCTCTTTGCCACTGCAATCGGAATGGGGAACAATGACAAAAAGTAAGTAGGGAGATTGGAGAGAGTGGATTTAATGAGAGTAAGTCTGCCTCCCTTAGAAAGGTACATACGCTTTCATCCTGCTAACCTTATCTCTATCATTTCCACAATAACATTTCAGATATGGGTACTTTTAAATCGTACCCCTAACAAGAGCCCTAGTTATGACATCGACAGCTGCGCAACCTTACAATCCAATATATCAGCCATCTCCTCCATGTTATCGACCTCTCCTACTGGAATAGCCTCGGACTTCCTCAAATTGATCTTCAAAACAAACACTGCTTCAAAGCATAGGAGCAGACAGCGCAAGTTCCTGAATTGTTCAACATCTGCATCGCATTGGATCATCGTGTCATCTGCAAATAACAAATGGGACACCTGCAATTGATCAACCATAAAACCTCTTATCAAACCGCTCCCACGGCTCTTTCAATCATCCTACTGAAAGCCTCCATCACAATGACAAATAACAATGGAGACAATGGATCCCCTTGTCTCAAGCCTCTACTGCTCCGGAAATAACCCTCAGGTGTTCCGTTGACCAAAACTAAGAATGGAACAGTAGAAATACAGAATTGAATCCATTTACACCACTTATCCCCAAAGCCACAACGCCTAAGCATATACAACAGGAATCCCCAATTTACATGATCGTAAGCCTTCTGAATATCTAGTTTACATAACATCTCTGGGACCCTCAGACGCATTCTTGAATCTATGCATTCATTCGCTATAAGCACAGAGTCTAATCTGACGCCCTTTTACAAATGCATTCTGAAACTTGGACATTATCTTTCCCAGCACCTCCTTTAATCTGTTCGCCAGGACTTTCGCAATAATCTTATACACTCCACTGACAAGGCTAATGGGGCGAAAGTTCTTAATATCAGTTGCTCCCGATTTCTTAGGGATGAGCACAATAAATATAGCATTAGAACTTCTCTGAAATCTGCCACGTTCAAAAAAATAAGAGAGTATTCACAATGTCCGGTCGAACCACACCCCAGCATGCCTTGTAGAATGAGAACGAGAAACCGTCCAGTCCCGGAGCCTTATCATCGTTCATGCTGAACACTACCTCCTTAATTTCATCCTCCCAAAATGGTCTCTTCATCCATCTGGCATCATCCTTCGTGATAGTAGAAGTGCAATCCCTCCAATTCTGGCCTCCATTCAAATTGCTCCCGATAGAGGTTCTGATAGAAATTCACCAGTTGGCTTCCAATTTCCTGTGGTTCCTCATAAGTAACACCGTTCACCTCCAAAACTGTGATGGAATTGTTCCGCCTATTAGAATTGGCGACCCTGTGGAAGAACTTAGTGCATTTATTCCCCTCTTTCAACCAAGCAACTCTAAATTTCTGTCGCCAAGCAATCTCCTCCATCTCCACCAACCTCTCCATCTTTTCCTTTAACGGCCTATGTCTCTCCTTCTCCTCCCCAGCAAACTCTTGACTCTCCTTCCGCCTATCCAACTCCTCTATCTCTAATAGACACTGATTTTTACTACAGTTAACATTGCCCACAACTTCCTCGTTCCATTTCTTTAAGTCCCCTTTCAACGCATTTAACTTCTGATCCAATACAAAATAGGGAAACCCACTGACTTCATAGGAAGTCCACCACATCTGTACTCGCTCCCTGAAACTTTCTACTTTCAACCACATCTTCTCAAACCTGAAAGGTCTTCTTCCACCACCCCTCCTATTCCCAGATAACATAATAGGAAAATGATCCGAGTACACGCTCCCCAATCTTCTTTGAGTGACATCTGAATATTTGGACTCCCACCCCCCACAAATCAAGAACCTATCAATACGAGACAAGACGGGTCGGTCCCGATTAGATGACCAGGTAAAATCTCCCCCAATCATGGGTAAATCCACCAACAAATTTTCCCTAATAAAATCTAAGAACAACTCCATTGCCCTAGTTAGTCTCCCACCACTCGACCTCTCCGAAGGAAATCGAATCACATTGAAATCACCCCCAATACATGTTGGGAGATTCCACCAAGCCCTCATTCCAGCTAGTTCATCCCACAAGCCCACTCTATTGTCATCAAAATTAGGCCCATAAACTCCTGTGAACATCCACCGAAATCCAACCTCGCAATTTTTGAAAAAAATCGATATAGAGAACACACCTATACTCACCTCCTCCATCTCAAGCACTCTAGTGTCCCACATCACCAACACGCCTCTTGAAACCTCTGATGACCCCAAAAACTGATATCCAACATGATCTCCCCCCCCCCCTAAACTACGAATCACCGCCCTCGAGATAAACTCCATCTTAGTTTCTTGTAGGCAAACAAGATTTGCCCCCCCATCCCCTTAGCAAATGACGAACACCAAGTCTTTTACTAACCTCATTGAGACCCCTTACGTTCCAGTTAATGAGTTTTGGCATCATTGTAACACTCCATAACCCCTCTCCATTGTTCCTTTCTTGGACTCGCCACCCTTACCAGCATAGTTTATTGACCATTCGAGCCTCTTAAGTTCGCGATCACCCTTTCTTCTTAATTTACCTCCATGTGTACTGATGTCTTGTCCCCTATTAGCCTCCAGCTCCTCAAATAATTGTAACAGCCTACTTTCATATCCATCACATAACACGCCGACCAACTTACTGAATTCTTGAATTTTTTGTAGAACCCAGTTCAAAGGTGGGTGTCCAACTTCAAACACATCAGCTTCTGAAGTTTCCTCTCCGTGATAGCCCTCGAGATGATCAAAGGACCGTTCTTTCTCTTCCACCACTTGTATAATGTCACTGTTGCTTTCTCCCTTCTTGGCATCATCTACCCACAACACCAAAGTTTTGTCGGTCCCCATATCATTTTCTTTTGTCCTATTATAAATGTTCGTAATCCTTGATGTCGAATGTGTAGCGTTGTTTTCTTTCGCAACGTCCATTGTCATTGTCTCCAAGTTCACCATACTCGACTCCCCTTAGATAGCGGTTCCACCACTCATTCTACAGCAATCCCCATGTCTACTTCATTCCGGTTGAACCCCATTAAGTCAACCCCGCAATCATTTTTATAGTACCCCGCTTCCATCCTCTCTTGAGACTCACAATGTTCATCTCTTCCCTGTTTTTCATGTTCTGTAATTGATGGTAATTCCTCATGAGTCAATCCCGGTACGTGTGTTTCACCGGTTTGATCCTCATCCAACTCAACCCCACACTTGTGACAGCATACCAATTTCATGGGGTCCATTTCAGTCCCACTTCCAACTAGTCTAAGTAATTCATCCAATGCTCCTTTCAACTCCTGGACGCGGGCCATTATTTCGGCCCTACTCAAACAAATGTCGTGACCTTCGTTATCACTGACTTTAATTGTCCTTTCCTTTTGCTGTAGAATCCGTTGGTTGGCATGCTCCGAGGTCCGTGAGTTTGCTGAAATTTCTGCATAAGACATCCTTTGTCTGTTTCGTTCATTCACCGTTTGTCGTTTGGCCTTATCTCTAGCAAAAAAAACGAGTCAACTACTTGAAACACCTGCGAGACTAACGCCCATCCCTCTCCATTTGCACCTTCTGGTATCATGACAACTCCTTTACGACGCCTCTCCCCATATTGTGCTATCATCAAATATCTACCTTGACGGTTCACACACCGTTGTGCCAAGAAAGCTCTTGAAGACTCGTTGAATTTAAAGACACAGTCCTCCAGTTCACTTCTCATCCTCAACCTGTCTACCATATTCACCATCCAATTAGCACCATACCTTCCCATATAAATTGAATCCGATAACTTCAAACCCCATTCTGTCAACTTAACAGTGCCGAAATCGTTTATAGATACTTCGAAGTCTTTCGCCTCCACTCTGAAACGATGATTGAATACCATACTACGCACCTCCGCCAATTTTTTCCCCTAATTGTGTACAAGCTGTTCATCAAACGGAGGAACGGACAAGCTGATTGATCTCAGAGCAACAGGTTGCCTGAGCATATTTTCCACCGTCGTTTTCCAGCGACAGCGCGTGACCCACACGCGCCGGCAGACACGGGGCCGGAGCGGCACGTGTAGGAGACAAAACGCCGATCGGGGTCATCGATCTCTACTGAGGCCTCCGGTGCGGCGCGTTTTCTTGAAAAGTGGCCGAATCTAGCGAAATCTTCCATGTACTCCCCGGATTTCTCCACTCTCTGCCAATTTCTGCCTTATTTCCACCAGGGCTGCCGCCGATTGCGTCGTCCCCAGACGCGCCGTGGACAACATAAGAGATCCCGAGGGTGGCGCTAGGGTTTCCACCATGGACCGCCGCCTGTGTGTGAAGGTAGTGGCTGGAGGGGCTGATTTGTGGCGTGAGGCCGGTTATGTGGTGCCTACCGGACAGCTGGTCGTCATCAGTGCCGGTAGGTATCGGTGTTGGCTGGATTGGGTGGTGGTGTGGTGACGGGGTTAATTTGGATTGTGGGGGGAGCTCCATCCGCTTCTCTCGTTGTTCAGAATTATGAACCCATATCGAGAAGGTGAGAACATTGAGAAGCTAATAACATTAGTAACACGTGCAATTCACCAATATACAAGAACTTGGAATTGAAGATGTGCAATTTGGGACAACAATAGGACAAATTTTTCATTACAGACCAGGTACATTATAATAACTGTCCAATTACCAAACCACCTCAACATTCCTTATCCAGCATGTATCTNAAATTTTTCATTACAGACCAGGTACATTATAATAACTGTCCAATTACCAAACCACCTCAACATTCCTTATCCAGCATGTATCTGATATTTGTTAAGATAAATCCAGCAGAATGGCTAATACAAAGGTTTCCCTTAATAACATTTACCATGTAAAGAAGTCAACAATAAGAATATGAACAAGGGAAAGCGAGTACAAAAAGGGGGAAGACACTTCAACTAATGGCCCAACAAAAATAATCTATGTATTATAAAAAGGAGTTCATTTCATTGAAATCCTAGATTCGACTACAGCATCTATATATTGGTAACAATGACATACCCATCTATATATTGGCAACAGTATCATACAAACCATCATGAATTCTATAGTGCAATTCATAGCATATATTTTATCTAAATAAAAAGTAAAGAAATTAATAAAAAATTTATTCCCAACTTAGAATTTAATACAAATGTTTACCTGAATCGGGCCTGCAGCTGTAAGTGGTCCACCAATCCCTCCACCAATGATTTGTCCATCAGTACTAGACAGACATACACTAAGTCCTCCAGTTCTCCCTCCAAGTTCAGCACGGATGTAAGATCCAGATAGAGAAAGAATGTCAAATCGCCCCTGATATTGAACCAACCATTTTAGAGTTGTCTCCTAATGGTGGAAAACAGTGAAAAACACCAGAGAAGTTTCATTTGATGTGCCAAACTTTCTTTTCAAATGTGAGCAATTATTAAGGCAATGTTAAATTATACTTTACACTATATTATCAGAGACTGGTCAATTAATTCAATTATACAATTACCTATTAAAATTTAGCAAAATGTAGGACAGCTAAGTCTTAATGAAATATGCTAATTATATCATGGAATAATTTAGTAACATAAAATAAACTAAAGGTTTCCCAGGAATTGTTGGACCCTTGAAGCTGATTTACCTTCTAAAACTCTTAACAATTATCATAATGAAAACAAAACAATTCAACCATCAAGGTGCAGTTCTGTTATCCTTCATAATTAGGTACCAGATCCAAAATTAGAAAATTAAGTGGACCAACATAGGTTGTACATATTTACAGGAGCTAAATTAGAATTTTTCCAAATATATAGGAATTTCTAACGGACAAAATTTTCCTTCTTATCTTATATGATATGATATGATCTAGTATTGGATAGCTCAATTGAGATCAAATACTTTGGTCTTTTCTTAATTTATTTTGTGCGTGTCGTCATTTTTTATTCTGAACTCATCAAGCTTATTTTTATGGAATAAAAAGCATTGTGGTAAATTTCAGACTTGCCGATAGAAGGACTGTGGTCAGACTTCTTGAACATAGGTGTTAAAACCATTATTGACTAATGTCCAATTGTTATATTAGTTTGGCTCTCGTCAACCATACATGGAGATTTTGGTTTCATATCACAATCCAATGTATCCTACAATATATTCATACGCATATAGAACAGCTTTCATAACAGGAAAGAATGTTTAATATCCATACCTACATATTGCTTCTCTATGAACTACTACCACCAGATGGCTAAAGTAGTATCTAAAATGGGGGGAAATCTACCTCATATGAAACACTGCCTCCAGACGTTGCTGGCTGGCGTAGAGATGCATTAGAGACCAAACCAGATGCTGAAATAATACATATTTCACGTTTGCTTTGCTGCATAAACATCATGATTTTTTGACCCACATCCTATCAATGCATTTAGACATGTTAGGTCTTACAATTATCAATAAAAAAAGGCAACAGATTCAAAAGTAGGCATGTGACATGATAAGATGGCATCAGGAAAAAGAAAAACTACCCCAGAACATTATTGATTAACAACATCAAGTGTCAATACAAAATTGCTGTTCTTATTCTAGAAATAACACAGTGATGGAGCTCTTTCTGCAACATGTGAAAAAAAAATAATAATAATAATAATATGCTGTTGAAATCCAGGGAAACATTGATTATAATATTCTCATCCACTAATGAGTATTACAAGGAGCAGAATACTCTACTATCTCATGACAAGTATATCGTCGAAAATTACAGATTGACATCTATTTTATCATTATAATTATATTATATATAAATAGATTGCTTTTACTATACTTAAATTACAGGTACCATTAGTTAATATTGTAATTGATTGCTACCATATTTAGTGATATTTTGGTTCTATATAATGAGAGAACCTCTTACATCGAGGGGCATCCAGTCTTATTGAGTATTATTGACTATATTTGACAACTTTGACCTTAATATAAAAAGGCAAAAAGAATACATCCTCAAATATAAGAAGTGGTAGCAAAGTGAGGAGAAGCGCAAAGTTTTATGACGTAATCAAACCAGGATCCCACTCGTTCAAAGAACATCCTGCTACAATCCTCAAGATCCAGATGCACTTGCATTGTCTAAACAACGCTAAAGTTTGCAATCTGAAGTGTATAAGCATTATCAAAAAAATAAAAATCATCAAGAGTTTTCATCTAGCTCTCCACCAGCTGGTCCAGAAGACATGCAACAGTGCAATGATGGAATCACTTATTATATAACTCTAAGTCCAGAGTTGATGCAAGAATAATATAAATAGAGAGGGAGGGAAGGAAGGAAGGGGGGAGGGAGAGGGATCTCAGATTAACTTAATGATCACATACATGTACCAAAGCAATTTTATCGTATCCCACCCCACGTAAAATGTTACATCACCCTTTGAAATCAAGATCTTTTATCCTTAATTATATCAAATATTGAATGAAAAAAAATTATGAAATGGTTTAGCATTTTAAAATATTGACATTCTAGACTAGCAGAACTTCATAATACAGGAAGTAGACAAGTTGAGAACTTTGCAGTCTTTCAGTATAAACAAAATTATGATAAAAAAAAATCGGTTACATTTACTGCATTATTATTTAACCAAAATGGTCCTCTCTCTGCCTCTCCATGGTGTAAGATCTCATGGACAAATTAGTTAATTGAGAAAGTACCATTTCCTCCCTTCCTGTTGCCACAAAGTTTTTGAAAATTTACACTGCCAACTTCAAAATATGGAACATTATTTAAATACACTTTTTGAATGGGCCTCATTCCTTTAAACTTGCTTCCAGTCCAAAATCCAAAGCATGGTCATGAAAAAAATGAAATTTCCAAATTCCAAGTCTTTAAAAATGCATTATGAAAAAGAATGACCACTCATCCACAACAAAGAGAAAAAATATATCTTGAATAAAATTAAAAGGTAATAAGCACGACTATTTACATTCTCAGCAAAAAAAAATACCAAGATACTAAGAAGCACAAATACGGATACGTAACTCGAATAACATACGGCTTTTTTTGAAAAATTAGGATGCGTGCATACATGTTATAAAATTCAACATAATTTTTCTAATATAAAAAAATATTAAAACAGAAGCATAGTAAAAAAAATAAAATAAAATACTAAAACATTTTATCTCAATCGTGTCCCAATTTTATTTTCTTCAACATCATCACCTTCAGTTTCTTCATTATCTTTAAAAATAACACTCATCAACTTTGGCTCATCTAATGATAAATTAACAATTTCAAGCAGTCCAACTCCTTCAAGAGTATAAGTCTCGGGCAATGTCCCACATTTTGAATTCTCCTTTAAATAGAGATTTAATTTTCTTGATAAAAGAAGCTATTTCTATGAATGAAAACCAATTTTTCAGATCATTGTGGAATTTTTTCATTCATTCTCATATAGTGCACAAAATTATACATACTTCAATTATTTAACGCTAGTTATATCTATTTCCAACAATAAAAACTATTAACACTGTTTCACACATATTAAAAGATTAAATAATATTGAGTATTTCCAATAAAAAGTCAAGTTGTTAATTAATATAAAACTTTAATTGTAAATTTCCAATAAATGTTATTAATATTCAATGAAGAAAAAAATAATAATAATCTATAGTCAATAACAATGAGTTTTAAAGAGTCTAAAATAAAAAAAAAAACTCTTCACGTGTTCTAAGTGTCGGATACGTATCGAAAATAATTTAAAAATACGTATCCGATGTGTACTGAAAATTTAAAAGTACATAAAATAAAATAAAAAAATGTATTTGGTACGTATCAGACAGTATCCAAGTCCGAATACGTATCGGACATGGGTATGTAATGTGTTTACAACTATCAGTGCTTTTTAGCCAAGATATATGTCGAAAAGAAGAAAAGTTTTCCATTTATATTAAAGTTAAGAGTAAAGAAGATTTCATAATGCGTATCTAGAAGCATACTTCTCCAGCAGTCACGGTAATGATATGAAGCGTGAAGCCTTCACCCATGTTGCCTGCATCACCCAGGTAGAAAGAGAATTAATCCGCTGTCCACTTTGCTTGTGGTAGTCTAGAAACTCAAATAACTATGGTGGGAAACTAAATAAAACTCAAATGGGGAAAAAAAAGAATATTTGAAGAGGACGCTATCATAACAAAAAATAAAAATAAGCTTTTCAAAATTTGAAGGCATGCTCACACACACGCTTGAAGGCACGGGTGTGTAATGCATATAGAAGGAAAATCTCATATTGTTAAATCAGCTTTCCAGTGATGAGTTAGGTCAATANTAGAAATAACCAAATTCAAATATGCAACATAGAAAAGATAATAGAAAAACTAATTTTGGTCTCCTTGATTTCTTGAAGATTGCCTACTTCTTACCTCATTCTTGCCCAGTTGAATTGTAGTTGAAAACTGATATTTAGGGTTGTATTTATATCATCTTAAAATTTTTACAGAGTTAGGGCTGGATTGAGCTAAGAAAAAGTTTGAAATTTAAAATTCTATTTCTTCCCCGTCAGCGTTGTGGCTCCACAAGCATAGTACCATGATGTTGCTGATTTTCAGCATTAACGGCACTACAACTCCCACTTTTCGAGTGAAAAATAGCATTGCACATCTTTCAATACTTTTATCATAACATCTTCTCTCGATATCCAATTGAGGTTATTCAAAGTACGTTGGGAAGATAACTCAAAGGAGTATAACTAAACTTCAGATGGTTTTTTTCAATTCGAACGTTTTTCATGTCAAGAATGAGTCTCAATCTCCGGCTAAAAATGTGGAACATACCTGTGCGTTTGAAAATTGATTTCTGAAAATAGTTTGATTATAATTCACTCCTTTTGCACTTTAAATTACATCTGAATGACTCTTGTCAATCTTTAATTAACGTTTCATGGTCCGAATCAACCATTAAAAAGTTGCAATTGAGTCCTCAAACTTTCGATTTCATCATTTTTCATCGTTATTCACTTATTTCTTTCATTTAGTCTCCAATCATCAAGTTTCACCAAATCAACATCTTCTCCTCCTTAATTCATGCCAACATCACTTTCTTCTTAAAGTTTTATACAATTCACACCAATTTACCTAAGCTATAAAATAACGTTAAAACACACATTAAAACGTCCTAAAACTCTAAGAATCAAATGAAATATCAAGATTAAGTAGCATTAATATAATGGGTGAAACATACTCATCAAATACCTCAAAGCTTAATATTTTGCTAATCCTCGAGCAAATACACAAGAAAAAGAAATGAAACTAGTGAGAACATACAAACAAAACTAACAAACGAACTCACCTAAAACAAGTTTAGTTAGATAGTTTCCCTTCATGGCTCATGATTGAAGATATTGTATCAAATTTATAAACCACTTCAAAGTTATAATGCAAAAATCAAATTTCACTTATTCCATGCAAAATAGCCGCGTATATGTGGAGAATCAAGTGCAACGCTATCCATTCATAAGTTGATTCAACTCCCGACCTTAAGAGTCAAATATATATTTTATTCACTCGTGGGATTTGCACACCCCTAAACTTTTTATTATTTCCTCCCAAATGATGTAATTTAAGGTTGATTTACAAATCACTACTCCTTACCCTCTTCAGTTTGGTTAAATTTTATTGACTGCAGTTTAATATATCAATAAATAAGGATTCTCTTTATTTTTTTTACTTCTTCAACCTTCAAAAATCAACCCAAGTTACTAACACCTTATTAAAGGACTAATCCTCTAAAACAAGTGTTTGAGGCTTACTCAATGGATGTGGTGCGTATTTTATTGTATGCACCTACTTTTCAGATATATATGGTCTTTAACTAATTTTATGTATGGACGTCTTTACATTAACTTTTCTAAATGATCTTGTAGTGAGCTTTAAGTCAACGATTCCTAAGTCAGATGACTTTAGGCACAGGTTTTAAACCCTTGCAATCCTAATCACATAAGTCATAAAGACTACAAATAGACGTTTGCTAATGAGATTTTTATAATTGTACTCATTGGAATCGTTTAGTGGTAGTTTCACAACAATGCAGCTTTTCCCCTTTATACAGTGATTAGTACAATGCCCTTATAAACACTCGTTCTTGAAAATCGACTCATAACTTAAGGTTTTCAATTTTCGCCCAATTTTCATCTTATTGGTCTCAAATAGTCCTCGCAAAATTTAGCATACATAGAATCCACATTTATCTTCAAATTTTTCTACAATAGCTCAACAACCCAAACTATCCTAAATTTGGTTTAAGGATATAATAATGTTTAGTCGTTGTTTGGATTTAGCATCTAAGTTCTCTATTTCAACTTATAAACATGGATCAATCTATTCATATACAATGCAACAATCAATTCACGTGCAAAAGTATCTCACATTCCACGTGAATAAGTAAAAATTAACGAAGGCGCATAACTTATCCACAATTCATAAACCAACACATGTCCTCAATTATATAAATCAATATCGACAAGGTTATCTAACTCATACAAACATGCAAAAATTGGTATTTTTTTTTTAAACAGCACAGTAATTGCTTAAAATAAAATAAAAAATTAAGGCAATTAGACAATTTATATTTCACCTCTCAAACTAAAACTAAATATTGTCCACAATATGAAATTAAAGGAAAATGAGGAAAACTTCTCTGTGTGAAAATAATAGTTATCTTCGTTGCTTCCACAATTCATAAACCAACACATGTCCTCAATTATATAAATCAATATCGACAAGGTTATCTAACTCATACAAACATGCAAAAATTGGTATTTTTTTTTTAAACAGCACAGTAATTGCTTAAAATAAAATAAAAAATTAAGGCAATTAGACAATTTATATTTCACCTCTCAAACTAAAACTAAATATTGTCCACAATATGAAATTAAAGGAAAATGAGGAAAACTTCTCTGTGTGAAAATAATAGTTATCTTCGTTGCTATCGACAGCATGGTGATATGATAGTGGATCGATGGATGATGAATGTCGACATAGCTTCTTTCCCAACATGAGATTTAACTTATAAGAAAAACAAACTCATTAATAAACTAAAAAGTATAAATATAAACTAAAATATAAAGATAAGGGATAGAAAGCTTTGATTGCCTCTCAAGAAGTGCTTGTTTATGGTTATTAGTTTGACTTTTACAATTTGCATCGTGGAACTTTAAAGAAAGCTTTTGATGTCTTGCTCATTTTACTTCTTCTAACTTCGTTCCACTCTTCGTTTATTCTACAAATTTTAACATTGCATCTTCCAAGGTAATAAGACCTACCTATTCCATATGTTTCAAAATCAACTATGTATACTTCTTCTCTCTCCCTGACTTAATCACAAATTCAATTGTTGGACAACTGATAAAGTCGTGTTAATTTTATCTTTATTAATTGTTACTTCATCTGATTCCATTGTGAATTGGTTATCCTCTTTATGCTCTTTTTCAATAATCGATATTTCTTCGGATCGAACAATTAGTTCACAGTCCAAATCTATGAGCAAGTATAAAAAAATTTCTTATTTTTTAACCACATATTATCTATCAATCTACTATTCCAAAATGCATTCTTAGGCAAAAAAAAAAAATGGAGCTCAAACATGCTTCAAATGTTGATAACTCACTATGTTTAATCGAGTCTCCGCATTTAGATAGACCTATTCATTATTTCTATTTCTGCATGATGTTATTTAGCATTATTAGTGTTACGACATCAGTTTAAGTGGCATTGAGTGTCATTAAATGAAATGTGCAATTAATTGAACAAAAGTGCTATTCTGCAGGGTCATTTAAACAGACCCTGGCCAGAATATCTCTCATACAAGAGGTCCACCCCATTTTTTAATGCTCAAAAAAATACCCACACCCTTTGAATGTGAGGAGTCTGGCCAGAGTCTGTACAAATTACCCTAGCAGAATAGCACGGCTCTTAATTAAATCATATAATTTCATATTTAATTGAACATATCACATAAAGTCACATATATTGATGTTAGATAGTATTATTATTTTTTCTTGTTATGACAGCCAAATAGAGTTCGACTATAATTGCATTGTGGAGTATTTTCTACAGACATTGTTTATTTTTAATTATGTAGTAATTATTTATTCAATTCACATTAAAAATTTTGAAATTTTCTAGCTATAAATACGGTATTAATAGATTAACTAACCCGATGAACCAAACATTCTACTTATTCACCATGTCAATTGCCAATATTCCATGCAAAGTTCTTACATCTTGCAAGCATGATACATTTGGTTGATTTCCCTTCTCACTATACAGCTCCAAGCATTTACGTTATATTCGTTCACGAGTTCATACACCATCATTAATCTTTAACACATCAAAAGTTGGATGACATGAGAATCATTTTATAGATTTTTTTGTTGAATTTAAACAAAGAAATATTATTTTATTGAGAAAGAGATTTTACAACAACGACACTTGGACACTTCTTTTATAATTCAAGGTAGCACTCTCACTAAATTACTAAACTACACTTTTGATTCTCTCATCCAATCCCCTACTATTTGCTCACAATGTATTCTCTTGCTCTTTTCGTCTCGTCACCACGCACACAAACGATAGTGTAAGTAAAATATATTTTGTATTTTTACATAGTATTTAATTATTTACTCGAATTAGAATATTTTTAAATATCAAAACATGTGCAAAAATGTGTTCAACCAGAGAGGTCCAAACTAGTAAGCCAGTCAGTCATGACTGACCAGTGCTCTAGGGCTTTAGGATAAACAAATTTCTTGGCTGCGGATTTTAGGATTTCCATGCCCTAAACGAGATGAAAGAGATATTTGTGCCTTATAGAGTTTCTACATTAATATAGAAAATCATTAAGGGACGTTTGAATGCTTTGAGAAAAATCTGCCTATGTCTAGTGAACCTGCAGTAGTAAGATTTGAAGTCTTCTAACCATCTTCAGTGAGTTCTGATCCACAGGTGAAGTATTTCAAAGCAAAAACCGTTTTATTTAACAATAACTGAAGACAACACACCTGAGCATGAACGATATAATCTACTCAAAGAT